TCCATAACCCTACCCAAACCTAAGGTGAAGCTGCAGGTAGCAGGTAAGTCCATTACTTTTATTCTCACTTGGACATTAAGTTTCCCTCACCAATTTCAGCTATGGAAGTAGACGGGACCCGTTCCTCCCCACTTAAAATTTTGCCACTGCCCTTCATTCTTGCAGGACAATTTTTCTCTCATCCTTTCTTAGTGATACCTGCTTGCCCAGCACCTTCACTGGGTGGAGATATCTTTAGCCGCTTCCCCAAAGCTTTGTTCCACTTCTTGGAGCCCTTTTTGACTCCACCCATCCCCAAGATTCTATTTTACAGGTTCACTCCTCCTGCTAGATGTGTGCCCAGGCCAACCCACAAGGGACTCTCCACATACGTCAGTCTCTACACCAGCTTCATGGTCACCAACTGGGCAAAGACTGGCAGGTTAATTTCACCCATATGCCTACTCATAAAAAACTTTGTTATCTCTTAACACTTGTGGACACTTTTACAGGATGGATAGAAGTGTTTCCAGTCTCCAGTGAAACAGCAGATGTGGTGGCTCAGGGTCATGGAGCTCGCGTCAGAAGCTCTCAACACCTCCTGGACAATGGACTCATCAAACAACAACTAACCAAACTTCACTGAACTCAGGTTATCTTGGCCCTCACCTCAGGGCCACCCCACGGGCCTGAGCTCTTTCGAGTTGCTTTATGACAGGCCCTTTCTCCTTAACCATCACCTCCCAGTTCAAACTCCTCCACTGGTGGGGTACCTACCCTACCTCTCCTTTTAAGGTCCCTTCTCTGTTCACATGTTGACAGTTGTCTTCTTGCCACCACACCAGTGGACCCTAAAGCCCCTAAACCTGTCCCCCTCTCGCCCAAGGAACACCTGCCTGCCTTCCCCAGGATGACAGTTCATGGGATGCCTTTTCAGCCACACTTCTCACTGAATATGGACACCTAGCTTTCCCCGTCCCCACGCCGTCCTGTACCCGCGGGAAGTATCCAGATTTGAGTCTATGCCCTTTTTTCCGAAAGAGAGCCTAAATGTTTGTCGTAATTACCACTCTAATTTTCTGTCACCTCTATATCCAAACAGTCTGGAATGTCAAGTTGGGAGCGTAGGCCCCAGCCCCTCGCATCTATCCCAGTCCCCAGTCCTGGTCTGGACTTCAAATCCCAGCAGGCCAGGTCCTGACCTCTCCCTGGGGGTGGGGTCAGGACCACTACCCAGGGTATTTAAATGAACCCCCAAAAGAGGAACATGTGGTCCCTTTTCCTTCCTCCCTGTGGTCACATTCATGAGGCTTCCTGGTTCCCCCTCAGGGCCACCTGAGAGCTCAGAACTCCCATTAAACCTGGCTATTTTTAATTTGGCTTGTTTTGATTTGGCTTGATTGGGAATTTTGCGTCAGCAGGGAGCTCATGTTAGGAAATATTTCTAACACATTGACAACACAAATTAAGTCTAGAAAAAATCAAAATGAAAGTAATTTCTCTAGCAATGTCTGGTTATGGATAATCATCAATTTTTCACTGAGAAAAGCAGGAAGTAGAGTGGTATAGAAATCAAAGAGTGCTGTATACAACATAAAATGTGCTGGTTAAGCTGGGCGGTGGTGGCACACATCTATGAGTTCGAGGCCAGGACAGCCAGAGAAACCTTGTCTCAACAATCTAAAGAAAGAAAGAAAGAAAGGAAGAAAGAAAGGAAGGAAGGAAGGAAGAAGATAGAAAAAATATTCAACTTAAGAGAACAGGTTTCTGTTGTAGGGAGCTGCGGGTTGCATTCCGCCACCCAGCTCCCGCCACTGGCTAGCTTTACCCGAAATAACAACATACAAACTGTATTCATTTAAACACTGCTTGGCCCACTAGCTCTAGCCTCTTACGGGCTAATTCTCATATTTTACCTAACCCATTTTTAGTAATCTGTGTAGCACCAGTCTTACCGGGAAAGATTCAGCATGTCTGAACTGGCGGCTTGCTTCATGGCGACTGGCCGGGAGAGGGAAGCATGGCCTCTGAGCTCACTTCCTCTTCCTCCCAGCATTCTGTTTTGTTTACTCCTCCCACCTATGTTTTAATCTATGAGGGCCAAGCAGTTTCTTTATTACTTAACTAATGACCTTCCTCCATCAGGTTTCTTAAAATTAGAAACCAAACCATATATTGTGTGTTCTCACACAAGTTACTTATCTCTCTGTGAGTCATGGGGATAGCAAAACTTTCCCCTTTGGATTTATGGAAATGTTAAATGAGTTACTAAAGAGAACTATGTGCTGCTGCTGCATAGTCTCATGATTTCAATTGCAAATAAAACACACAGTTTGAGAGTCAGTTACTCCCTGATTGGGTTTCATTAGAGTCTGGGAGAACTGCTTCTTCCATTTTCTACAGCAACTAGATAATTGGGATACAGACCATTGCCTAATATCTGTAGGCAAAGATTTTGATGTTCAGAATGGGCAAAGCCAAGACCACAGTATCATTGATAAATGCTTCCCTTTGAAGAAAGGGTTTAGTATCACATTCACCTTGTGAGTACTAATTATCACTTATATTACTGTTAATACATTCTACTGTATTAAAAAGAATAAAACATTCAGCATTTCCCACAGACATCCCTGAGGGTTCTAGGTAAGAGAGGAAATGTTTATCTATCCAGCAACATTCTCCTGACAGTGAGGTCTGGGGTAAGGGGACTGGAGAAGGGCCTAAAGATCAAATGGTGTGTGTGGCAGGAGAGAGTGTAAAAGCTGTGAGTTGTACAAGGAGTGGGAAGGGGCACAGAGTTTCATTTCCCCTTAGGTGGGAAGCCATTTTGTAATGTTTCTTTTTAATAAAACCACCAAATCTCCTTATCACCTAAACAAGAGGGCCAAGTTGGAGAAACTTCTCAGTAGCTGAGTGTTTAGTTGCTCTTTCAAAGAAACCAAGCTCAATTTACAGCACCCACATGAAGCAACTTACAACTGCCTATAACACCTGTTCTTGCAAGCACATTGGTGCAAGTGAACTCATGCAGACATACACATACCCATACAGAAAAATAATAAATCTTAAAAAAAATAAGAGTTCCAAGGTGTCTGGGTAGTCATGGTAACAATGACATTAAAAGTCGAGATTCTGTCAGTGCTCTTGATATGAAGATTTGTGGTCAATTTCCCATCTTACAACAGCAAGTTGCAGATCATAGAACACTTCTAGACACAAGTTTCAGCCAATCACAGAATATTTGGCCTGTCTTTAGCAACTGATGTCCTATTATCAGTCTGTGTCAAGTTGATGAGGCATGTTCTCAGGGATGGTAGCCCAGATAGAGCCATGCCTGTAGTCAGTTTGTGGTAGCTATGTCCTGAAAGGTGGATGTCCTTCAAGGCCTGGGCCCTGCTGCTGGGTCCTTAGGCAGGGATGCGCTTCCAGTGGAGCACAGTTCAGCCAGCTATGCAACAGTCTTCACGCTGCCACCCACTCTGTATGCAAATATATCACTGACACAGGATTCCTAAGCTAGATAAAAGATGTGTTCACATCTATGAATAATCAGAGAAAACCCAAAACAGCTTAGTGAGGAATAAAAGCCAATTAAGTCTTCTACAGTCTTCCATGGAACTGGGAATATATGGTTCAAAGGTAAAGCATGCATCTAGCATTTGCTAGACCTTAGATTCAGTACCACTATGGAAATAAAATAAGACTTGCCCTGTGGGTATAAAGAAGGCTTCTTCCTCCATGTAGGGTAGATAAAATCAAAGTATTCAAGCAAGTGTGGTATGTTTCATGAGACTCAGTACTAGATCTGGGGTGAATTTTCACTAGAAGTGTGGGGTGTGTGTGTGTGTGTGTGTGTATGTGTGTGTGTGATATGAATTTGTGTGTAATCAAATATCAGGATCAAAATTTATAATTGGTATTTTTTAATTAAAAACATTGCTTGGTCCATTAGCTCTAGTTTCTTATTGGCTAACTCTTAGATATTAATTTAACCCATTTCCATTAATCTGTGTACCGCCACATGGCAGTGGCTTAATTGGTATAATTATTACAATCAACTTGGCTGAATGTATTTTCTTTCTTTAATGTACTCAGTGCTTTTCAGGGGGTTATTACTACAGAGCCACAATTAGATGAGAGAAACTGGTTAAGCAAGGGCCATTCTCTCTTTTGTTGACATAGATATGTCTAGGTCTTTCCCATTTCCTTCATCAAACACAAGAGAGATTTCATGATATTGTTAATCCCAAAGATAGGAGGAGAAAGATCACTGACCCAAGTCATCATGGCCAAATTAATTAAAACAAGCAATTAATTAAAGCATGTTTTTTAAAATACCTATCTATCTATCTATCTATCTATCTATCTATCTATCTATCTATCTATCTATTTACTTTTTATGTGTACAACATTCCTCCCATGTGTGCCCGCAAGCCAGAAGGGGGCGCCAGGTCTTATTATAGATGGCTGTGAGCCACCATGTGGTTGCTGGGAATTGAACTCAGGACCTCTGAAAGAGCAGTCAGTGCTCTTAACCACTGAGCCACCTCTCCAGCCCTTAAAGCATGTTTTTAATTCGTGTACACGGACTGCCTCTCCCTAAGGCAGGCTTTGAGACGTCAGCATTGGTTGTAGTAGGAGGTTTCCAAATGGGGGATTTGGCAGACAACATAGGTGAGGTTACAGGAGCAGAACAAGTCAACCCTAACTCCTGAAACCAAGATGTGCTTGCAAAGTGGGCCTAACAAGGCAGTCACAGGCGGTCGTTTAGCTCTTTGAAACAAAGGAAGGGTTGCAAGATGGCTATAAACAACCGTTTGAAACAAAGATACGATTGCCATTCTGGAACAAGCAGTACAGAACCATTTGTAGTGAAGGTTACAGATGGGGCATAGGTCAGTCCTTGGGAAACAGAGGTTTAATCATAAACAAGAATGAATCTATTAAGTTTATTTCCAGGTTAATGGGAATCCACCACCATTGATGTAATAAGCCAATCAAACTGAATTAATAGATCCAGGAAATTATTCTCAGCACAGCATTCCTTGGTGGCCTCAGGGGAAGTTAAGGAGCCCACAAGGTAGGGACTTTTAATACCTTCAGGGGTGGGGCTGCAGATGGTGGGCATTCTCAGGGGCAGAGTCCAGACTGAGGCAGCTCTAGTGAAGGGGCTTGGGGTAGAGCCCCCACTCAAACATTCCAGACTCTGGATATGTGGATGCCAGGGACTGGAGTGATGTTTCCATCCAAACAGAACTTACTTTTCTTTACTATCAGATGGTGTTCAAGTCTAAGATGGAGGAGGCTGGCTCTTCAATATATTCCAAATTAGAAGGCTGCATCTATCTATTTTCACATCTGGATTCTTTCTAAGGTCTATGGGGCATGTGTGTATGTGCTGGGGGGTGAGCACTTTGATAGATGATAATCAGGGATTCCATCACTCACTAGTTGTTTGAAAGGAGTCCACTTGTTTCTAGTATGCCCCATAGGAAAAACAGTTTCTCTTCCTCATTCTTTCTCTAAATTTTTACTTAAAATCAGATCAATGAATTTTTTTTTTAACAAGGTCTTTACATGTCACCCAGATGCTTGTTTTGCACTAACAATCCTTCTTTCTCAGCCTCCACAGTGCTGGAATAACAGGTGTATGTCACACAGAAAGATCAGTAAGCCGAAGGCTTCAGTTTAATAACAATCATAGAGGTCTGGCAACGCAGCTCAGGGGTGGAGTCTATGCACAGGCAGTGTTTTTATCTCTGACACTAAATAAATACACGGATTCCTTATTTTTTAGTTAGGGTCACTGCCTCATTTCAAGACAAAAGACTACATTTTCTGGCTTCCCTTGTAGAAATGTAACCACATTCTTGCCAATGAGAAATGACAAAAGTCATCTCTTCGATTCTGGGGAAAGCTGATAAAGGAACCCTGTCAACTGGGGGTGGAGCATGCTTTCTGTCCATTCTCTTTTCAACCTGGAATACTGGTACAAAATCTCTTTCAAACCGATGGGGATGTTGTCTGCTAAAGCCAAGGGAAGCCACAGGATGTTCTTATCAGAGAATAGATCATTTCTACTATTCTCGTTCCTCCTTGATAGAGCCTAGTCAATTTCCAGGACTGTCTCTCCTCATGTTCGCACTCCTTGTTTTTCACAACATTTTCCCCAACTTGTTTTTCACAATATTCCCATACAAGCTGAAGAACTGTCTTTATGATGTTCAGTAGAGAGTGAAGGATAAGGTAAAGCATACTGAAAGTATTTTCTTGGGGTGTCACTGAGATGCTCATCCTATCAACCACATCCAGTTTATTGTATGCACTAAGACATACAGTCCACGCTCTGTACTAGGGGTATTTTCACATGCTATAGTAGTAATGAGTGGGGTATTCTTCACTGTGGGAGGTAAAGAGGGTGGAAACACATCTGTTTGGCTATTCACTGACTACCCTGGAGTAAACCAGCTAGAAAACAAACAATCCACCCTGCCAGGTAAAAGATTCCACTTGAGTACTAGGAAATAATCAAGGCTCACATTAGGAGGCTTCAGACCCCACAATCTCCAAAGTTTCCAGTCTATCTCATCAAGCTCCCAGGGTGGCCGGCCCGGACAGCTGCTTACACAGCTGTTGTTAGTGAGGCCTCTAGGTGCAGCGGTTGAATGGCTCTGCTAACCCATGTGTCCTCCAGGAACTGTGGAGTCACTGGGGGACTCCAAAGAATCTGAGTCTATTCGCCCCCACCCATCACATTCTCTTTGCGAACGCTGCATTGATGATTATATCCTAGATCCTAATAAATGCTGTAGTCCTTAGGTTCCTTTCTCTCTCTCTCTCTCTCTCTCTCTCTCTCTCTCTCTCTCTCTCTCTCTCTCTCTCTCTCTCTCTCTCATTGCTGGCAAAACATATGCTTTGGATGGCCATCCATGGGTGTGCTGCCCTCTTCTCTGTAGAGTCTGTAAGTGATGTGCCCTGCACCCTGTCATGTTCTGTGCCTCACCAGGCTACAAACCCAACCCCAACATTTTCTATGTCTGTTAGGAATTTTCCTAACGTGAGCTATCTGCTGACGCAAAAATCCCAATCAAGCCAAATCACAACAAGCCAAATTAAAAAATATCTAGGTTTAATGGGATTCCTGCACTCTCGGGTGGATTTTGGCGGGCTGTCTTGACCTTTCTCCAGGGAGGGGTACCTTTCTCCAGGGAGGGGGTTAAGGTTTGGTGGGCACAGGGACGGGGCCTCCATGGGCAGAGACCAGGACTTACACTGTCTGTTATCATTTTGCTGACCTTTCCTGTCACCTGGGTACCCTGTCCCTTTAAGAGACAAGCTCCACCTACCCAATCCCCCCTCCCAGAGGCTAGCTAATCTCACTTCTTTTCTCTATCCACCACCCCCTCTGTCCCTCTGAAGAGGCAACTACTGCCTCCCTCTTCCCCATTCTCTCCCCACTTATCTCCATAATCCCCTTACCCATTAAATAATTTTATACAGAATAAAGCAATGAATATCTGTCTGTCTCCCACCCGCCAGGGGATGTTCCAGGGTCACTCCACCATAAAATCTTTCATTGGTGTTGTGAACTCAGCAGGCTAACCCTTGCAGCTGAGGACTGCTAGGGATCCTGAAAACTGCAACCCCTCAATAAGGTCACCTTTACAAGTTAACCATCACTGGAATTCTACACCTAACATCAAACGGCAGGTTCCTTCCACACATCTGGCCATGCCTCCATGAGTGTTCAATTGCTCAGCAGTGGTTTCCCACGGAAAAATGGCTCAGTACTGGTTAACCGCTTGCCCATGGGGCTTAAAGCCCCTTGCTTGGGCCCCCAAGTCCACGTGACGACATAGGTGTTCGGTTTGTGCCCACTCACCTATCATCAGCTTACATTTTGCCAGTAGTTATTAGTTGAAATTGCAGCCTACTTTTTCCAATGTTTGTCTATCTGCCTTTCGTTTCAGTATGTAATCACTCTGTGCCGCTGCTGCCAGTGCAGCGCCTTCTCCCTCGTGGGGGAGGAATCTGTCACTCTTCCTTTCATGGAGCACTGTTTCTGCCACTGCTGCAGTGTGGGTGAAACTCCTGAACCTGGACCTTCTAGCAGCCCACTTTCCAACTTTCTGTCCATCAGCTGAGACAATTGGTAAGATCACCGCAGGCTCTTCCCACCAGCAAGGTTCTCTCGGGCTCTGCTCTAGTACTGCACACACTGAACAGTGCATTCGTTTTTTCGGGTCCAGGGCCCCTCGGATCTATGGATCCTTTTTGGGATATGATCCCCCTCTTGGCCTTGTGCATCTCAGACGACGGCTCTTTCTCAGCCCCCATTATCTTGTGGACGAATAGATAAAGGCCTGAGCCAGTTGTCTATTTTTCTGCCTCACGCATGGGAAACAGGCTGACAAAACCATATACATCTCTAACTTCTACCAGTGGACCGTTAAATGTAAAGAGTTAAGTCACGTGGGCAACCACCCGCCATTTTGTTTGAGCTTAAGAAAGGGAGCAGTCACAGACTTGTGAAGTTCTGCCCCAGCCAGAGTGCCTGCAGCAGGTTCTCCACATGAGGTCTCGCCCCTAGCCAAACAGGGCAGGCAGCCTACTGGCAGGCAACCGCACTCCAGTGGTGGCTTGGCTGCCCCTAGCTATATGACCTGTGATGGAGGAAGGTCATTGGCTAATAAAGGAACTGCCTTGGCCCATTTTATTGGTTAGAGGATAGGTGGGAGGAGTAAACAGAACAGGATACTGGGAGGAAGAGGAAGTGAGCTCAGTCTCAACAGCTCTCCTCTCAGGAGCAGACGCCTGAGAGAGACGCCATGCCCCGCTCCCGGGATGAAGCTCCAACCCAGGATGGACTAGGCTAGAATCTCCCCGGTATGCGCACCTTGGGGTGCTACACACAGATGATTAGAAATGGGCTAAATTAAATTAATATGTGAGAATTAGCCTAGAAGAGAATGGGCCAAGCAGTGTTTAAATGAATATAGTTTGTGTGTTGTTATTTCGGGCATAAGCTAGGCGTGCGGGTGGCTGGGGTGCTGGGGACGCAGCCCCGACGCCCCCTATTACTACAGACCTGTCACCAGCTACCTTTAAGCCATCAGCTATGTTTTTAAAAACTTACTTTTATGCTGGGGCGCTCATTACCCACAGAGACCTACCTGCAGTGTATCTCCTCTCCTGCCTTCCAAATCAAAAAGCCAGCTTTCTCTTGTTCACTTTTCATTTAACTTTAACCTCCTCCTCTGCTCTGCCAACACCTTGCCAGGTCCAAGAGACACTGGACAGTTCCACACCCCAAATCCTGGACCAGAGTGAAGCAATCAGCTACCCCAGGATGTGACCAGTACCCAGCTTTCTCAGGTCCCCCAAGACTTCGATGCCCACAAATAAGCAGGAAGAATTCCCCTCCTTTTTATTATAAGAGAAAGATGTAAATGTTATCATTTTGCTGACCTTCCCTGTCACCTGGGTACCCTGTCCCTTTAAGAGACAAGCTCCGCCCATCCCAATCTCCTCCCCCCTCCTGCCGAGGCAAATTGATCTCAATCCCCCTCCTTTACCTCTTTCCTCCATAATCCCCTTACCCATTAAATAAACTCTACACCTATGCTCTCTCTGCATGGCACATCTGTCTGTCTCTCACCTGCCAGGGTCTCCCACCCGCCAGGGGTCCTGCGAGGGTTATACTGCTATGAATAACATATGAATGATAATAATAATGATAATGTCTACTAGTATACACACATGTGTTCATGTGTTCATGGTCAAACAGGAAGTATCCAGTAAAAGGCACACTGTACACAACCATGGCCATCTTCGTTTGAGGGTGGGACTAAGTCTATAGCCATTCTCCAGAGAAATCTCAGAATCAAATTTGAGGAAACCACCACTATTGTTGTGCCACAATTATGCCTTGGAAATTAAGTAGTTTTTGTTTTGTCATTTAAAATGAAGCTTATATCATAAAAGTTTATATAAAGAATATAATTTTGCATTACTTTATTCAGCTTATTGTGAAAGCACACGGATTCAATTCTTATTGGCACATAGAATAAGAATATTTAATTATGACAAATTTCTTGTCTTCCTAAACTCACAAATTAGCCTAAATTTTCTAATTTTCCATGCAGAATGTTGGGCACATTTCCAGTGGAATGTGGAGAAAAGTACACATGCTACTTCCAGGCCTGTAGGTTAAAACAACTGAAAATGCCCAAATTACTGGATGATCAGAATCCAGGTTCCTGAATGACAAGGCCATGCTCTTATCTTTGGTGAATTATGACATCTCACATTTTAAACTTTATAATGATAAACAACTCAGCTTTGAAAATACTTTGTTACAGCCTCCAAACAATATACATTAATGCAACAATTGTTTCTCATGGACAGAAATGTGGACATTTTAATTACTAGTAGGAGTCAGCTTGTGAGATACAACATTCTGCAAAAGCATGGTGATTCTCTGTTCATGTTGCTGCATCATAAGAAGCTCATGAAAAGTGCATATTCCCCAAATGGCTCCATTTGACCTACTGGATGAGAATCAAAGCAAGGCATACATGTTTGTCCCTCCCTTGAGTTTTATGGCTCTTACCTCATTGCTTTGGATCCATTTGATTAACGTTATTGAACTGGGTTATTTAAGGTGTACTCGTTTTACAGATTTTTAAACCAACATGCAATCCAATGAAACAGTTTAGCTTTAATAGTTTTATGAACTGCACACATTTTAGTTTCATACAGTAACCAGCCAGGTAAGAATGGGGGCCAGTTTCTCCAAAATACTGGCCAGTGCTCTTTGAAGTCACATCCTTAAGCCTGCTTTGATCACGAATTTGTTTCTCATTGCTACAGTTTTGTGTTTGGGATAACGCCACAGAAACAGAAGCATACAATAGGGAAGTTGTGAAGATATGTCTCATATTCCTCTGGATGGGTGGGAGCACATGTCTAGAGTGCATGTCTTTTTATAGTGAAGTATTACCTTCTACAGACCTCCTACCGTTTGCTTTCTAGTCCCCATTGAAGGTTCTTGAGTTCGTTCTGTGTCCAGGGATTGTGAATGAAGCTGCTATAAAATACTTAGATGTTTTCTGTGGTACCCTAACTTGCTTTCCCTGGGACAGGCTACTGGAAATGTCAATATTATAGATGTGCTAGAGGGAACTGAGTTTGGAGGGGGCTGCTTTGCAGCATTCCCACCAGTACTAAGCAGATGCTGAGCATCTTCTCTCTGCCTTCTCTGACCTCTGTCAACCAAGTGTCTCCAGGGGCTGCTAGCTCTCCTCTGGGGAAGGGGAATACTCCTCCTGACTAGGAGCTATTGCCTTAGGAGCACAAGAATGTCTACTATCACTTTAGTGTGAACCGGCTAGAGATAAATCTCACCTTTTATCTTGAAATATCTCTATTCACATTTATGAAACAAATTTTCTGCCTATAGAATTCTAATTTAGCTGTTGTTTCAACACATTTAAATGCCATTACATTTTCCTGATTTTAAAAAATTTCATTTTTTGAGATCATAATTTAATTATAATAGTTCTTCCTTCCCTCTTCCCCCTCTAAACTCTCCCAAAGAACCCTCCCCACTCCCCTTCAAATTCATGGCCCCTCTTTTCATGAATTGTTATTGCATGCATGTATGTATATGAATAGGTATACATATTTCTAAGTATAAACTGCTCAGTCTGTACAGTGTTACTTGTATGTATGTTTTCAGGGCTGACTCTGGCACTAATCAACCGTTTGGTGTGCTCTTCCCTGGGAAAGGTCACCTCTTCTCCCAGCTTTCCTCAGTTGTGTATAGTATTGTGTGTCGAGTTGAGGCCTCCTGACATTTTCCCCCTGTACAGTTCGGCATATTCATTGGTGTCATCCTTGCTCAGTTCCCATTTTGGCAATCACATTGGTGAGTCTTTATGGGTAAACCATCTACCTTTGTTTTCTTTTCTTTGGTCTGGAGGCAGGAAATCACTTTATATAGTCCTGACTGGCCTGGAACTCACTATATTTTATGCATTGAAAAATCTGAAATTACTGCAGGTAAATCATACTTTTTCTAGTTAGCTATTAAATTATAATTTCCTGATTCAAACTTAATTTCAAATTAGTGATTATTATATCTAAGATAAATCTAAGGCCTAATTATTTCAACATGATTTCCCTGTAAACTTATTTTCTTACCAAAGCAATGCACTTCACTTAAAACAGAGAAAAGCAGAAAACCAACCAGAGATCTCAAGTCGACTGACCAAATTTGGTATGTAACTATGGTTTAGCCCTTTCTAAGTTTACACACACACACACACACACACACACAGAGAGAGAGAGAGAGAGAGAGAGAGAGAGAGAGAGAGAGAGAGAGAAGAAAGAGAGAGAGAGAGAGAGAGAGAGAGAGAGGAGGGAGGAGAGGGAGAGAGAAATTGTTATAAAAACTTAAAGACAGCCACCATAAATTGAGTAGCTAAAAACTCCTTCCATATGCTCGTGGTTTCAGGATTTTTGGTGGTGAGGAGTGTGAGCCCTGCTCCACTGGGTCTTGTGCTCAGTCTCCAAAGGCTGCAGTCAATGTGCCAGCCAGTGCTAGGATCAAATCTGAGAGCTATGCTCCTCTCCTAGGCTCAGTGGTTGTGGGCAGAATTCAGTTCCCAGCTGTTGCAGAATGGCAAGCCCTCAGACCCTCGACACTGTCCCATTGCCTCTGGTATAAGGTGTTCTCCATAAATACGGCAGTCTGTGTTTTCTAGGACAACAGGATCTCTGCTGTTTTGAACTGTTCTGACTGCTTCTATGTTTGACCACTCAAGACTCTTTGATGACGTTCACCTGCTTCGGTCAGGGCCATCTGTGATGAACTCCTTTTGAAAGTCTAACTTAATGTCAAGTGACTATGAATTTTCATTACATCTGCAAAATCTTTCTAAGAAACCTGATAACACAAGGGAGGAAGTGACAGCTATATTCAGTGGGAAGGGATTATTCAGGGGATCCGGCACCAACATGAATCTCAGGGGTCACTTTAGAAGTCTACCTACTATAAATAGCATGTCTTAGTACCATTTCTGAGTTTTTCTTCCACTCAGTTCCTACAGTTTGTTTCAGATACTTTTACAATATCATATTGGCACTGCAGCTTCAACAACCAAAGTTTTGAAATTGTATTTGTCTTTTGTAAAATATCTATGAAGTGTAATATCCACTCACAAAACTATTTTTTAAGATTTTATAAGGCATATTCGCTCTGGATTAACACTTTTTTACCCTGTACGTAAAAATACAAAGATGGGGTTCTGTTTCCTTTGCTTAAATGGCACACTGGTCACTGCTGAAGAGTGGCAAGTTTCCTTTACAAGGAAGGATGGGGAAGCGACAGGGAGGATGGGAAAAGGGGTTCATTCGTCGCTGTCAGAGCGGGTCTGTAGCTTTAACATCACTGCGCTGTGTGCTGCTCAGGTCACAAGGCAGCCATTAGTGGCCAGAGACAGCTGAAATGAGCAAGCCTCACTGGGGGTCTCAGGGTAAAAACTGGTCAAATTTTCTAGATGATACACATCTTTGTTAAGGGTTAAAGATATTTGTGCCTTTTGATTAAAAAACTAGATTTATTATTATTATTTTTTTTTTCGAGACAGGGTTTCTCCATAGCTTTTTTGGTTCCTGTCCTGGAACTAGCTCTTCTAGACCAGGCTGGCCTCGAACTCACAGAGATCTGCCTGCCTCTGCCTCCCAAGTGCTGCGATTAAAGGCGTGTGCCACCACCGCCCGGCTAGATTTAATTTTTAAGATTACTTTCTTACAAGTATGTCTGTGTACCATGTGCCTGCCTGGTACCTGCAGGGATCAGAAGAGGGCATCAGATCCCCTGGAACTAAACTTAAAGACAGTTGTGAGCCCCACGTTGGCGGGGGCGGGGGCGGGGGCTGGAAACTAAACTGAAGTCCTGTGTAAGATCCCCAAATGCCCCATCTCTCCAGCCTCCTCCTTTTATTTTCAAAATTAGATTTTTTGACCCTTGTTGATAATTCCAAGTACCTTCTCCATATTAACAGCAGAAACGACCAGTTATAATTTATTGAAACAAGTTCATCACAATTTTGCCTGCTTGAAAATGTTGCAAATATATTCAAAACTGTTCCAGTGTTGTAAGATCGTAAACATTGTCTTAGAAAATTACAAAGAATGGTAACTATGTTAGCAAAACTATGAAATATCTTCATTCCATTTTCAAATACAAAATATATTGTTTTATGCAACACTGAACAGTTAAGGCCAGAACACTTCAAGGAGGGTTGGAGGTACAATATTTTGGAAACTGCTTGTTAAGAATATTAAGATAAATAAATATGAAAACTATTCATACTGTTCAAACCAAGCCAAACA